ATTTGTGCATGCCTGTGTGTGCTAAAAGGAATCAAAGACACAAAGAGTTGGTTCTTTAAGAAAATCAACAAGATAGACAAACCTTTATCCAACTTAACCAAAGGCAGAGAGAGAATATCCAAATTAACAAACTACTGATGAAAAGGGGGACATAACAACAGACACTGAGGAAATCCAGAGAACCATCAGGTCATACTTCAAAAACCTGTACTCCACAAAATTGGAAAATTTAAAGGAAATGGACAATTTTCTGGATAAGTACCACATATCAAAATTAAACAAGATATAGCCCCGATGGAAATAGAAAGTCATTAAAAGCCTCCCAACCAAAAAAAGTTCAGGGTCAGATGGGTTCGGGGCAAAAATTATGCCAGAACTTCAAAGAAGAGCTAATACCAATACTCCTCAAGTTGATCCACACAATCAAAACAAAAAGAACATTGCCAAACTCTTTTTACAAGACTACAGTTACCCTGACACCTAAACAAACAAACAAAAAAGCCACAACTAAGATAGAGAAATATAGATCAACCTCCCTCATGAACTTTGATGCAAAATTACTGGCAAACCAAATTCAAAAAACATCAGAAAAATCATCCACCATGACTAAGTTGGATTCATCCCAGAGAAGCAGGGATAGTTCAGCATATGAAAATCTGTCAATGTAACATACTATAGAAATAGACTGAAAGAAAAAAACAACACATGATCATCTCATTAGATGCTGAAAAAGCCTTTGACAGAATTGAACACTTCTTCATTATAAAGGTCTTGGAGAGACCAGGGATACAAGAAACACACCTAAGCATAATAAAGGCAATATACAGTAAGCCAACAGCCAACATTAGACTAAATGGAGAAAAATGCAAAGTGATCCCACTGAAATCAGAAGTAAGACAAGACTGTTCACTCTCTTCATGTCTATTTAATATAGTACTCAAAGTTCTAGCTAGAGTAATAAGACAACAAAAGGAGATGAAGGTAGTGCAAATAGGAGAAGAAGTCAAACTTTCTCTATTTGCTGATAGTATACATAAGTGACTTCAAAAAATCTACCAGGGAACTCCTAAAACTCATAAGCATCTTTAGTATGTAGAAGCATACAATATTAACTCAAAAAAATCAGTAAGCCTTCTTATATACAAATGGTAAATGAGCTGAAAAAGAAATCAGAGAAACATCACCATTTACAATAGCCACAAATCACATAAAGTATTTTGAGGTAACTCTAATCAAACAAGTGAAAGACCTGTCTGACTCTATGAGCTCCTGTTTGTATTTGGTGTACATAAATTAATGATTGTACTCACATATATACATAAAAATAAATTAATCAAAAAGAGGCAATGATATTCATCAAATTGGTAAAACAAAATCCATCTTAATAAGGTGTTATTATAGTTTCATAACAATAACTCAATCTCTGGAATTGTTTTTCTGTGTTTACTTCAATACAAAATAATCACACTTATGAGTAAACATTGTGATCAAAAATGATAGTAAGGAGTTTTAAACACTATTTTTAATACCTGCTAAATTCAATTATACTTTTTCTTATATTTTATTTCTTTGTGTATGGCTATGTGTGTATGCATGCCATGTCTACATATATGCCATAGCACGTTTACAGAGGCTGGACCACAACATGAGGGAGTCGGATTTTTCCTTCTACCATGTGTGTTTAGAGACTGAACTCAGGTGGTCAGCTTTGGCAGCAAGTGCATTTACTCACTGAGCCATCTTGCTGGCCCCAAAATTCAATTATAAATACTAGTTTTCATCTACTTACATAAGTCAGATTTTTTTTTAGTACCATGCCATGTATGAAACTGCGCTTTCCACGTGAGGCAAAGGCATCTTACTGTGGAGAAGAGCCACTGGTAAATGAAGGAGAGGAATGAGCTATTTTAGTTAAAATACTAGTACACACAAGGGTGACCACATGCTAGTGCTGCCTGAATGATGCATTTTACTTAGGCACAATCATCTGAAACGCACCAGTTTTATTATAGAATTTTTCTAGCAACTTAGCAACAAGATTGGAGACCCCAGAAAGACACTACTAAGTATTATGATTTAACATTTGCTTAGTAAGAATTACAAATTAATTGATAGGGCAGAATTATTAAATAAATACAATTGAGCCAAGATGTTTGGAGAGAAAAGTGGGAGAGAAATCATTAAGTATCTAACACATAATAAACGCTAAATAAATTAAGGTTGGATTAAACTGAAAAGTTAAAATAGTGATACATCAAAAGGTTCAAGGTAAGGAAGAAAACAGACACATTACATTTTTATAACAAACTTCTGGATGGTAAGTGATACTTTAAGCTTAGAAGAAAATGTGTCTGGAAAACAGTGAAACAGTAAACTAAACCAAACAGCAGCAGAAGGACATTTTAACAGAGATGATACAGTTAACAGAAATGTTCAGAAAACAATTTAGCAACATCAGAGACATTTGAGTGGTTAAATAGAAAAACTAATGACATGAAGAAGTCACAATACCACCCTTAAAACCTTTATAAAAGTAATTTAAGAAGGCCACAGGCTTCAGAGAAACAGGGATATATTAACAGCGAATGTGGTAGTACTATGAGATGCTTTCCTGCTCATCCCAAATTTCTATAAAGTCTTATGTACTTATAAACAAACATTTAAGGATACAAACTATGATTAATACTATGAATATTAACTAAAAACACAAAGATAAGAGAATGCAAAATATAAATAAGTTTGGTCAAAACAAATTCCAATGTACTTTGTTACAAATATTGATAATATTTACATGCAAATAAATTGACAATTGTGCACTTGGAAGCATTGTGTATAGAAATCTTCAAAATTTTGGAAGCTTCAATTTTTTTCGTATCTGTAAATTTTCACGCATGATTTGTCAAAAGAGGTCTTAGCATGCAAAATATTCACTCACTGAATCTGCTTTCTCAGTTCCTACTAGAAGAAATGGTTCCTTGCAGGGGAAAGAATAAGTTACTTCAAAGACCAAACAGAAAAAGATCAGAAAATGTAGAGCTTTAAAGTCATGCCTGGAAGAAAATGAATGCTTGCAATCCAAACAAGCCATAAAATATGACTTACATTTTATGGATGTGGATTACACCTGCAAACGATTGCTCCAATGCAGTCATGTGGACAGTTCTATGGCTCTTTCTTTTGGGTTACCCATAGGGTAACTCTTTTGAAAGACTCTTTACCTTTTACCTGCTACCCAAAATGGGCTGCCAGCACTTACACTTTCTCTTAGCTATTTATCTGTATTTGTAGAAACTACTGAAGCTGTTAGGGCCCTCCATAAACACACTGGCTGCTTTTTCTTTCAACTTCCATTTAATGTTAGGTTAAGACACCGATGTCATAAAAGCGGAATTTTTCTGAACTGCTTCTGTTCATCCAGAAATCCCCCACTACATAATAGTGCATGGTCACTCATCCAGGGCACAGTTTTAGAACCAGACGAAACGGAAATTGTTTTTACAGCCATTTAGAGAGATGTGAAGTGTACTCTTCAGGACAGTGTTCAGTAGAAAGAGTTAATAACACTCCTCAACTCCTGCTGGCCTGGATTGGGTTTGAAACTGAGAAATAGCTCAGAATGAAGAGGCAGGTAAGAGAAAGGCCAACTGCCTCATCATTTGCTTGCTTCACAGTAGGACACAGACTACTGTGCACAGAGCAATCGGTGCAGCAGAGAGGTAAAAACCGTTCTATTCTCCAGGGCAGGGAAAAGTAAGAATACCTTAACAAATCACCAAGGACCACTTCCAAGAATTAAGTCAAGCTGACCTGTAGGTCCAGCTACTGAGGAGGTTGAGGCATGAGGATTTCTTGAGGCCAGGAGTTCCAGGTCAGCCTGAATACCATAGAAAGAAATTTTCTCACAACCTTCTTCTGGTCACTGAGAATTCAGCACCAATTTTGCACTATACTATTTACTTTCTTTAAGCAGAAAATAATGTGAATTTAGTACAGCAAAACATGCCATGTTACTAATACATTAACTTATAAAACACTTTTACTATAATTTGGGTTCACCATTATTATTTTAATTTTTTTCTAATAATAAACTTCATTTATCTAGTTCTAGGTCTCAAGTAAGCAACTGTAAAATTATTCTTGAAAAAAATTGGGCCCAATATGGTTGTCCAAAGTAAATTTGTTCAAATATATAAGCCATGCATGGCAGAAGTACAAACACTTATACACACATATACACACACACACACACACACACACACACACACACACCTTTCTAAAGTAAACCCCAAAATAAAAATGTTAGATTCCAACAGATGTGAATCATGTAGCATCCAGTTCATTTTCAAATTAGAATGATTTGCTGACCTCTCTAGAGGACAATCTTTCTTGATTACTGCAGAGCTGGTTTTCAACATCTAGGTCCCAGCTCAAAGGCATGCTAACTCTTGAAGGTATGAATGATTGTCAAGAGAAAATGGAAAAACAGGACTCAGAAATCACCAATTTCTGACATTCGTACTAGCTTTGTCCTTGACAGATTTACAAAAAAGGCAACGAGGTCAACATAAAGTAATGACAGGCATGTAAAGCAGTGACAGGCCCAGCAGCAGGAGAAGTGCAGAGGACCAGGGTTCTCAATCTGCACCCAGTACAGGGACTGCAGCTATGTCAGCAAGGGAAATAAACTTTTCTACTGTCTTCACAGTGGCATCTACATGTGCATGCATCTTACCATAAAAGCGAAAAATATGTTTTAGACCAGTATTTGTTAGTAGCTTTTGTAAGATTTGAACTAAAATGCTAATGACAGCAATAGACATTATGTGCACACACATGTTCAGGTTGACATACAATATCATTAGTCTTGAAAAACGAAACAGCAAAGCCTTCTTCGTGCCTGCGTAGGCAATTGTGAACACGCTACACTTTCGTACTGTCAGTGTTACTCAGCTACATGCAGGGTCACTTTCTTTTTACGTTTCTGCTAAGGGTTATCTCACCTTGCACTTTGGACACTTCTGGGCATTTCTCTGCCCGTGCTCAATTTCGCTGGCCCAGTGACGCAATAACTTGTCTCCTTTTTTGTACTCCTTGCAGTTAACACCTTCATGCCAAGGAGCGTGGCACTTAAAACACCAGATGAATTGGCAAGTGGGACACTGGATCTGTGCAAAAAAAAAAAAAAGAAAACAAAAAACAGTATTAGTACTTTGAGATACACTGAATGTTTTCTGTTACTGTGATAACCACCATGACCAAAAGAAAGGGGCCTGGGGAGGAAAGGAGTTACTTGGCTCACATAACCCAACCACAGTCCACCATAAAGGGAAATAAGAGCAGGGACTCAAGGAAGGAATCTGGCAGCAGGACTTAAAGCAGAGGCCACGTAGGAACACTATTTACTGGCTTGCTTCTCATGGCTTGCTCAGCCTGCTCTCCTATACAACCCAGGACCACCTGCCCAGGGAAAGCACTGCCCACAGGAGGATGGGCCCACTCAACATCAATTCAAAACAATGCTCTACAGCTAAATCTGATAGCAATTTTCTCAACTGAGGTTCCTTCTCCACAGAAGACGTAAACCTATGCCAAAATGACAAAAAAAAAAAAATTAACCAGCATAGTGTCTAAAAGGATAAGGATGTCAATGGTTTGGGAAACTAGCTAAGGTTATTATTTGAAATACTTTCCCCAAGAACAAACAAGAACAGACCTCAGAAAAATATGAGTCTCTGTTACTGAAAGAGGAGAGAACTGCTTAGCCAAGGACGGTTTGCTGTCTAGAGACTACTCAAGCATTCATAAACAAGTGGGGCGTTTTGAAAATCAATTTAGTTTTATGAAAATCTCCCATGTTGAAGCACAGAGTAAATCTCGAAGGTGCTAAATCCAAACACTTTGACTGCTGTTCGTTCATGCATCCCTTGAGCCAGCTTTCCAGTTCTTTGGTAAGAAAAAAAGTTTTCTTACCAAAGGCTAGCTTAACTTTACAATGCCTCCTCAATGGGCAAGCATACCTTCAATGCCACACTGTTGAATCAACATTCACCACTGAGGATCCTGTGAGAAAGGTATCAGAGTGTCGATCCTGCTGGTGACACCTAAGAAGCCACCAGAAAGGATCCTTCTTTTGAATTTATGGGATGCGGGCACTAAAATTGTCTAATATGGGGGATATCTGTTGTGCCTTCCTTTGTTGTGAATGGCAGTGAACTGTTACATTTACACATAGTAGTCCCCATTCAAACCTTAAAAGTATATAGTCACAAATACATGGTCCCACGTACATGTGATTAAAATGAACTGAACTAAAATTCTTCACCACGAATGATCTCCTAAGCCCTCTCCTATTCTTTGTGCTTCTGCACATGGCATCACAGCAGTCAGACTGAATTTGGACAGCCTGAAGAATAGGAACTGTACCTAATACTGTAGTTAATATTGTCACTTAGACTGTTGGCTACTGATGCTTTTCTGACGGCGAGGCTCCACTGCGTACATTTATTTACTAAGAAGCAGTTACCATCACGACTCTTTTTGCCTCTAAGCCAGAAGACTCTAGTTTTCACTCTTGTCAAGAATTAAAAAGCCCAGACACGCTGGCACACACTTCAGTATGGACACTTGGGAAGAAGACTGGAGGCTACCGTGAACTAGAGAGAGAGACCAGGTCTCAAAAAAAGGAAAGCAAGGATAAGTAATATTCTTTCTATGCAAGGATGAAGGGATACAATTTTGATTTCAAGTTTATATAAAAATTTTAGTTTTTACACAAAATTCTTTAATTTCAAAATTCTGTTTAAATGGGAATAATGTGTCTTATTTTTCTTATTATCAAAATAATGCTACAAAATACATATGGCTTTCATAAGTGTATATTACAGATGATGACAGATATTAAGTAACCCACCCAAAGTAACAAATGTATTAAGAAGGTACTTGAGATTGAGCTCCTAGAGTTCAGTTGAAGAGAGGAAGGAGGGATCATATGAGCAGGGGGTGGTCAGGATCATGATGGGAAAACTCACAGACAGTGAATCCAAGCTAGTGGGAGATCACAGATTCTGGACTGACAGCTGGGGAGTCTGCATAGGACCAAACTAGGCCCTCTGAATGTGGGTGATGGTTGTATGACTTGATCTGTTTGTGGGGCCTCTAGCAGTAGGACCAAGACTTATCTTGCATTCATGAACTGGCTCTTTGGAGCCTATCCTCTTTAGGGATACCTTGGTCAGCCTTGATGCAGGGGCCAGAGGCCTGGTCCTTCAACTTGGTATGACAGACTTTATTGACTCCCCAAGGAAGGCTTAACCCCCTCAAAGGAGTAGATGTCAGGTGGCACGGGAGGAGGGGTGGGGGGATGGAAGAAGGAGGGGGGAACTGGGGTTGGGATGTAAAATGAAAAAAAAATTTAAATTAACGAAATGAAGAAAGAAGAAGGAGGAGGAGGAGAAAGAGGAAGAAAGGTGGTACTTGAACCTAAACTTGTATGGCTACATGGCCAGCATAGTCTTTTCGGAATTAAAACACTTGATCATACTCAGTGGCATTCCTTCCTTGATACGTGAAAACTTGCACTCAAAGGTCACGATGGTTAAACTACTCAACTAGCCACCATTCTACAGGGTTCCCAATCCACTATATAAATAAGGATACTTCTTGGCTTGTGGGGGGAAGGTTCTTACTATTCAGTATTTATATACATATATATGTGTGTGTGTACACATATATATAGCATTTGCCTTTTCTGTATATTAAAATTAAAATTGCCCTTTTAAAAATAATAAAAGGGAGTTCGTTAGATTGGCTTTCAAACCATGGGCTAGGTACACCAACAATAAGTGTCTATACACTAACATTATTTTGTCTTGTTTTGTTTTTCTGTTTGTTTTCGTGACAGGGTTTCTCTGTAGCTTTTGGAGCCTGTCCTGTAGACCAGGCTGGCCTCGAACTTTGTTTTTTTAAAGAAAGGGTTTCATGTAGCCAAGTTGGTCTCCAGCTCACTATGTAGTAAAGGATGCTCTTTATCTCTTGACCCTTCCACCACCTCCATCCCTCAAGTGCTGGAATTACCTTTGTTTCACTGGTCATTTTTAAAGTAAAAAATAAAGAGATGATATGAGTAAGCTTCAGAAATAAAGCAAGAGAAACTATTTTTTTCTCTTAAAAGTCATTCAACAATGCAGAACAGACTATAAACATTATATATACAACATTGTAAATGGGGCCTTTCCTTTTGCATACAGATGGGATGGTAGAGAAGTGAAGAACTTCCATCGCTCATCTTGCAGATGTCAGAAAGTTTGAGCACTTAACTCAGTTGGCTAATTAGACTTGTGAATACTGAAAAATTGTAAGGCCCATCTTGAAATAAATAAAACAAGCCTGCAGATCTGAGTTCATTCCACAGAACTCACATTTAACAAAAGTCAGGCATGGAGGCTGTTCATCTTTGTAACACAATGAAGGAGCCTGGTAGCTGGTGTGTGAACCAGAGAATGTGGTACCTGACAAAAATAAGTCCTACTATTAATTCTTATTAACACAAATGTACAGACAAACTGAGATAGCCATTATAAAGCAAGATTTGAAGTAACTCACTCAACTGCTTACCACACTTTGGACTAAAATAATAAACAATAAAAGCAACTTCAGTACTCAGAGAGTATACACAAATTGTCACAGTACCAGTTTTTGTCTGAAGATGCCACGCCTTCCTTATTCATTATGACCTTAACCATATTCAAGATTGGCCTTCTAACAAACACAGATATCAACACTGCGTCTTCCTCCACTCCCAGGTCTGTTACTGCCCTCAGGAAATGCTAGTCCACAACCACAGGGCTGCCACACAGAGAGTCTGCCTTCTGAGTAAACCGGTCTGCAGGCAGGATCACCATACTCCCTGCTTCCCACTTGGACTGGACTGCATGTGAAATGTGGCACCTGGTCTCCAGCTGGGGGCAGTGTTGGGGAAGCCTGTGGAACCTTTAGGAGCCAAGCCTTAGAGGAGGGAAGTGGGTCACTGGGGCAGTTGCTGAAGCCTTAGATCCCTGCCCCACTTCCTGTCTACTCTTCTGCTTTCTGATTGAGGATGCGATGTGGCCAGCTGCCCCCATGCTCTTCCTACCACATGCTCCCTAGCAGAATGGATGGCTCCTGAATTGTAGACCCAAACGACTCATGTTCAATGCTTCTTGCTGGATATTTTGTCACAACAAGAAAGGCCACTTAGACACTATTCAAAGTTAAATTGGAGAACAGCAGTAGCAGCAGCAGCTGGGAGCTTGTTGGCAACACAGAACTCATGAAAACCCATACACAAGGAATTAAGAGTTTACCTCTTTACCAGATTGTCTTCAGATGATTCGTAACCAGGCTAAAGTTTGAAATGGACTAGCCTACACCTTCCAACTCCCTGTCTTTGACCACAGATTCTTCCAAATACACGTGGCTACCAGTTGACACAGCTAACAAGCCGCTAAGAAGTAGCAGAAGAAGACGCTAAGCAATAGAGGAGAGGGTGCCTGAACTGGCCTTGCCTTGTAGTCAGACTGATGACGATTTTAAATGTCACTATAGGATCTTCATCCAACAACTGAAGGAAACAGAGGCACAGACCCGCAGTGGAGCACTGGGCTGAGATCCCAAACTCCATCTGAAAAGTGGGAGGAGTGAGAATATGAGCAAAGAGGTAAAGACCCTGATGAAGACATCCACTGAAACAGCTTACCTGAGCTAATGGGAGCTCACCAACTCCAACTAGACAGAGAAGGAACCAGCATAGGTCCAAACTAGTCCCTCTGAATGTGGGTGACAGTTGTATGTGTGGGGAAGACTATGGGGCCACTGGCAGTGGCCCCAGGATTTATCCCTGCTGCTTGTACTGGCTTTTTGAAACCCTCTCTTTGGATAGATACCTTGCTCAGCCTAGATATAGTAGGGAGGGCCTTGGACCTTCCCCAAAGCAAGTGCCTTACCTGCTCTGAGAAGTGGATGGAGGTGGTGGGATAGGTGGGAGGAGCGGAGGGAGTGGGAACTGGAACTGATATGTAAAATGAAAAAAGGGTAATTGTTTTCTGTTTTTTAAAAAATAAAATAAAATAAGATGGACCAAAAAAAAAATAGCGCATGTTTTGGCAGCAGAGGTTACCCACTCATCAAT